TCAGTAAAGATGGCATTAAAATTATGAAAAATATCATCATTTGCAGTTCTACATCTTGGTAACTAGCTTCCACAAAATTGCTCTGAGCTAAAAGGCGTTGTAAGGACTGGACATCCGTTGTCCCTTACTCCGACGTCTTTCCTTTCCATATATACTTTGTATCTGGTTTGAGTGGGGGCAGCCCAACTTAGGCGGAAGATGGATAACGTCCACAAACCATAATTCTTTGATAGGAAGGTGATGATGTTTGAGTTTCTACCGCGTTACGTCGTTCCTGGAGAGGGTCTCAGACGGATTCGCAGAACAAACAACTGCAGGATCAATAGTGTGCCATCCTTGAAATTCCTGAGTATAAACTATTTTTGTGCAGAAGTTTAGTGCAGAAGTGGTAGGTTATCCCACAGAGGTAGTGTACTATTTTTGCACCCACCCTATCCCTTTTCAAAAAACGCCTTGACGATACCCTGTCACATTTACACTTCGTGCTATAGCTCATGACCACCAGATGCTGGCACTAATGCATAACAGACAGGGGATAGTGCCATAACCCTACTCGAGAATGAGTCACTTCAAACGTCTTGCATGTAATTTGATAAACGCTACTACTATATAAACTGGATTTCTGTATCCTGTGGACCCAAGATAATTGCACAAGAGTAAGCTTTGTCTTTGCTATTTTTTTTATTTTTCTCGCCTATGATGTGAACAATAACCACTCCCCTGTTGCTTTGTGTGCGTACATTATCATTTCAAACTCCCTTTATACGACAGTGCAGTTATATCTGTAAGCGCCTGAACTGACGACTCCATTATCCCTTCGCTATCTCTTTTTGTCACGCTGAACACCCTACGTGACATGTCAAGCACCTGCTTTTTTACCCGTTATAAATCATTGTCCAATCATTGTTCTGCAACACCTCAATTTCATCCCAACAAAATCTCACCCACAATAACCTCGGACTTATGAACCAACACGCTAGTTGGATCTATATCTTTTCTCGGTCAAATACATTTTTAACTCTTACAAATTCCTCCATAGATCTTTCAAGATGGTCCTTAAAGCCACCAAATTGCATCCAACTAGGGGGAGCGCCCCAAAATGCTATTGCCAACTGAGTAACAAATCAAAAATTAGCCAACATCATCCAACTCTGTGTACTCATCTGGCGTACTATCAGATGATTCTGAATTAATTACTTAATTCATTTTGCATAATCTACCATTCGTGGTCAAAAGGTATCGATGAGGTTAGACAAACAACAGAGATAAATTTGCCTGCATGATGTCTAACTCGGGAATGCTCACCGAATGTTCTTCTCTGAAGCGGCTCTCATGAACACACGGTCGATCAAACTATGCGTGTTTGGGGCATTGCTTTCGGCATTGCTGCCATGCGCTTCTCTTGTTAACTGGCGAGCCAATATTCCGGGCTGACTTACATGTGTACAATCCTAACAAGACTACAGCGCTGAATCTGTTGGCGGAAACCAATACTAACGCAAAAGGGTATTTTTCACGTGACAAACAGCCATGACGCAGGACGATTAGTTGTCATTAAGCGTATTCATCTGTATGGTTGGCAAACTTAACTTGTGTCATCGAAACTGGTGGTGCATGTTATCACGAGTAGATGTTAGGTATTAATCGCTGTTAAAATCCAGATCCTCTAAAACCTTAGTCTTTTGTATACTATTTAAGTGTCTGGGACTCCAGCGTAAGACATAGAGATTACCCGAAGATCACTGCACCAAGATACCACTAATTTCCTTTGTCTATACACGTGCGCACAACAGGTACTAAGCACGCAGATAATGAGTTACTAGCCTTTGTGATAAACGTTTTCAGTGGAGTTATGTGATGTGTTCGTGAAGATGGCTGACATTAACCTTCACATTCCATGCCCGAATTCCAGTCTGGTCATTGCTGCCTGATGACTTGAAAGGGGATAAAATCGGTCGTGGAGCGTATTGTTGCGAATGAACAACAGCGCATTTATCGTCTTAGGTTTTCCTCCAAGTGATCAAACCGATAGTCTCAGCTCAACACAAATTGTTATCCTACGTGTTAATCCGTGTCGCAATCTGCGGACAGGACGAATAATACAAAACGATGTCATCGGTCATTCTCCATTCTCAACATCCAACGGATTTACCATCGAATTCTAATACTTGCTTAAAGATTTAGGTCTCGATTGCTCCCAGCAATGTCAACATCTTTTTCAAATGTGCATTGCACTTTCCACCTACTTACACGTAAGTCAACTGTGGACGCAAGTAAACAAGGGGCAAACGTCTATGTTATCATAATCATCCTGTTTAGTTATACACCGTAAAAGCCCGGAGAAAGTGCGACTAGTTAGACCCCACAACCTGCAAGCACACGCAGCCTGAGAAACATCGTTTACTTAGCCCTGGTCGTCAACTGCACACAACTGACAAGTAATAACGTGCTTTTATTGTGTTTGTATTCCATACTACACCCCTTGGGCACATAATGCGGGTTATTAATATGTTTGCCTGATGCACTTTACCGGCTTAACTCAAGACTCATATCATGTTATCCTAGGGGAGATATTGTGATCGTTAACACGCGGAAAAGATGGCATCTACACTGATCTCCAGTATAATCCCTGAAGTTCGGATTTGTTGATTTACTAGTTAGTAACTTAATGTGCTCGGTTTTTACTTGCTTCACCACAATTAGCTTGTAAGCCACTGAGGTCAAGCATCAATCCGGAAAAGCACCAGACGGTCTTTTCGCCAATTGGGACTCGTCAGTAGCACGAATTCCTTCAGCCCCCTGCAAGGGATCGAACACATGGCGTCTAGTGGGCTGCACCGTTAGCCAGCAGTTAATGCCAATAAGTCATGGAGCACGATAGCCGACCACCACGGATTAGAATCTAACTGCGATATAGCCCGATCCATCATGTCAAGCAGGTTACTGCCCGTGTAGAGGACAGTGGCTGTCTGTCAGGTATCAGGACTTCCCTTACCAGTTACCGTGAGTCCAAACATTTTTTGGACTGATTCTCTACCGAACCAGGGTCTATATATACTAGAAGCCCGTAACTCAGCAACTAGTCGACACTCACATTAAAGTGAAGTGAGACACATTTAACCAACTGGCTGAATCATATCAGTGTACGATCTGGTAGCCGTATTTCGTCTGATGTCCTTTCCATGGCGTAACATGTCCTTTGTTGAGGATATGAACCATTATGAGTTTTAACGACTACTTTATTTCATGAAATGTAGGCTTAGCCCGTTTGACTTCCTTGAACTACTGTTCTCTGACTAGCAATTTGAACTGGCAATGCACTTCTAAGGCATGTCGCTGATATTATTGGTGCTCTGTTTGCTCAACAGGGTGTAAAATGGTCAAGCGAACTGAAAATGTGGTCACTCACCACTCCTAGCAAGGGTGCTTTGATGATTAACAGGCCCATGAGGCATTTTGTAGCTCAAGTTAACCTTGATCAACTAATCGATCGGTGGTTAGACGTAATCACTGTCCGGCCGCTTAGTACATAAAACTAATGGAATATTGTGGAATAAATTGATGTCGCTAGTTGCTCGGTGTTTATGAAGAGTTATTCCGGCTACAAAACCAAAAAGTAGACTAACAGACCCTTCACACCAATAACGATTGTGCTATTAACAAGCGATGTTACAGACCAGCACCATTAGTTGTGGTTTTCAGTAAGAATGCTCTACATAACTTGAGAAATCCTTATATTTTTGCACCCAATAGGCAATTTGAGCCAGCCGCTAACGAATACTTATGACGTAACCGCGTTTGTTGCCAAACAAAGTTCACCCAACTGCTAGTAATTGAACAATAATTAAAGATATGTTTACTCGATTGTATCCAATTTGGGACTTAGCTAAAATCGATAACTTTGCGGTGGGTGTGTTGTGCGATATTGCGGCGATAACAGTAGCTACGCATGAGACCTGATAGAGCAAGACCACCTGACTGTAAGGGGAAACTGTAAAGTGCTCTCTACATGCAAACTGGTCTGGCAAACAAACCAGTGTGGAAGAATTTTACTGATATTGATATGCACAAAATATTCAAGCAGACATTTATAGTACATCTTTATGTTACACCATCCAGCGACAAAGGCATGGTACTCTTGAATGACCTCCCAAAACCAAGAAAAAATTGTGCAGTACTCAAAATCCGCAGATCGCGAAATGAAAATTCAGTTAAATGTCCACTATCCACGTCCAACCTTGTTTAGTTACGTCAGTTTTTCCTTGCTTTGTGCTCCGGCTCTTCATTCGCCCACATCGGCCCATTTTTCTCTCTGCTTGCGTGTTTGAGTCGAACAACTTCAGCCTTGTTTATGAAAGCTTTTCTCCCACCCAAATCAAGTCCATCCACTCCTGAGCCGATATACGAATCCATCGGCTTCTTATCAACTCTCTGATTTACTGGCTCATGCAAAGTCCGTGTTCGCTTAGGTGGACACCGACTGGCTCCACCGACGTATTGTTTACCTACTTAGTCAACTAATAAACACAGCATTTGGTATTACGGAATAAGTTTCATAACCGTTCAGTCTAAATAGCTAAATAAAGCGAATGACACCGAACTGCACAAAACTAAGATATTGACCATAGTATGATGCAATGAGACCCAACTATGGCAAATGGCTTAGGATGTGCACATGTTTTCACTAATATCATGAAAACCAGTAAAGCAGCAAAGTGGTGACACAAAGCCAGAAGAGGCTAACAATTTTGGACTCTCCGGTTGACATTTGTGATTTTAAATTCATCCCTCACCGCTTGGATGCTTGTTTTATCCCCTTAGTTATTTGCTTTTAATGTCAGTCATCTTAAAATCTTCGTCTATTTAACAAAATGTATGAGTGAGTACGGTAAAATGAATTTACTAGGAGTCCACATCGTATTTCATCAAGAACACCAGAGTTACTCTTTTAGAAATTCTGATATCACTCTCTTTGAATTCATGAAATTCTGTCGTTTCAGGAGCCGGGATTGTGTTTCCTGGTCTCATTGACCATGTGCTTTCTGTGTTGGAGACCGGTGATATTTTGCAGGAGTGTAAAGTGATCAGTTCCAAACCGTCCGAATACGCCTATCAGTGGTTTAGACTGAACAATCAGCCCATTTCAAATTCTGCATACTTACAAAAGGATTACGTACTCCGGCCAAGAGATGAAGGAATTTACACATGCGTGGCTACGCCAGTTGATCCGGGGAGAAGTGTTGTTGAGAACAATCTGGTTGTGACCATTATACGTGAGTATAGCCACTCCTTCTGTAACCGATTTTCCGGCTTTTGGGCCATACCGCGAATGCGCATCTGAAGAAACACATCGTTCAGAGCAGCGGTTATGTGCAATACTGCAATTAGTTATCCCGACAATTTCAGCTAGCACCTGGTAATAACTATGGTCATTCGTGCGTCGTAACATTCAGTTTAGTCTGTACAAACTATGTACAAGCCCTGATATTTGTCTAAGCGTGTTTTTATTACCGCAGCCAAGTGTAAACGAGCATCAACTTAACTACGTTTACCGGAGTAACTCTGCTCCTAATGCATTGCATTGCCATAGGAATGCCAAACATCAACTGCCATTACTTCAGGGTTGGATCATTGCTGTGGTAGCTTCGGCTAGATTAATTCGCACTACGACCATCAAGCTAAGTGTGCACAGAGGAGGACAAGACCGTAAGGATGCTACTTGTTCTATTATCGGCATCAGGATAAACCAGCGGATTTTCCCTCCTGTCCCTTTCAGAGAATCGTTTGTTGTGGGGCACTGTGAAGTTTTCTCCTCTTTGAAGTTCCAAACATTAAAACCATTGTCTAAGACAATGAACGCTGTTAGTTTAATGGATAAGCGCATGACCAACGGTCTTAGGAAGACTACATGGCGTCCCGTGTGAAATGCAGACGATGATACAATCAGTTTGCTGCGGGTAGTATTAAATATCTTATCAGCTTATAGAATGGTTGCAATTATAAGAAACACGTAGAGCTTATTGGACGGGTCATTTTGTAGTACTCGGTTTTTGAATGAATTGCAACAAGACACTGTGGCTCAGGGGTAAATGTCCTGGGTTCCGGTGTCTGCTAACTCCACTTAATGGGATTAAATAAATTTTCAAACCTTTCATGGAGTGCAGTGTTTTTGGGCGGATAACACCCAATAGTCACGCGGACCTTTGTCATCTACTGTGATGTATCCGTAAACATCACAGAACATACCTGGCGGCTTTAGTCACTAACCTTCCACCAGAGCATTTTACCACCTTTGCTTTCTATAGGTGAAAAATTATAGCTTTTTAACTACTAAACACCAAAATACCTTTGTCTCTCATCTATCCATTTCAGCACTTCGGTTTCGTATTGATGTTATTGATGAAGATCTGAAGTTAGATGGATTCTCTCGCAGACGTATAGTTCAGATACCACCAAGTGATCCCAGCTTGAATAGCCGTGAAACGTTCACCTTTCAGTGGTTTAAACCGGATGGAGCTATTGTCAGCCAAGGACCTGGCCCAGATATGCACGTCAATTTCCGGAGTCCAGAAGACTTTGGCCGGTATTTTGTTCGCGTTCGTGGGGCGAACTCTGGTTATCATCGAGATTTGAGCACCTACATCAACCTAGATGGTATGGCTGAGTTGTATAGATCGCTTTCTGACTCAACTCCTGACCTTATGCACACCTTAATTCTGAAGGTACTAATTATCGACGAAATGTCTTGTGTGTATTTCCAGTACGATAAGTAACTTCACTTTTCGAGTCGATGATGGACCTTATCTGTTCATCGTTGAATTTTAGAAGGAGTACTTTGATTTCTTTTAACACAACTAAACCCCGTAGACATCAACTGGATCAAATAATACCTAGATCTAGATCCAGAGAAACTGTATACATTGTCAAAAATGTGTACCGCAGTCCCAGTTTGGGATAGCAAACCAAGCATGCATCGTTATTCTGGATGCTGTCATAACGAATAGCTGCAGGTGCTTCAACTTTCCTCTGCCACCTCCTGAGATACACTCGCAAACAGCAGCTATTCGTCATATAGGAGGAACTTTGCCCGACCTCGGTTCAGTATATATACATTAATATTTTTTCAGCGCCGGTAAAATGATTGCAGTGGGTAGCTGAGAACGAAACCCTAATCAGTGAGAGGGAGGCGTGCCAAGCGTTCTGTACCTACTGTTCCGGATAGTGATGCAGAAATACGATCAGTTGCAACCCACTATCCGCTCCTATATTTTTTTACACCTAAATGGGTATTGGTTCGATGTGAAGATGATATGGAACGAAGGTCAACAGCCGATGGCTGGGTGTGTTATTTCAAACAAGTTGTTACTGTTTTCCTAGCGAGCACGATGGACACGGTTTTGGAGACTGTACCTCAAAAGCGTGAGAGGAACGCCGGCCGTGCGTCGCCTATGAACCTGAGGCAGAAGGGAAGTCCGACCTACAGAAAGGGCACTTTTACTGTCCCGACACGGGCAAACACAAGGTATTGCTGCTTCTTTTGGATACCGAGGCTGACGACGTATGTGAATCTTGCATCGAACACTATGCGCTAGAACCTAACGCGAGAGATGCGGAACATGAATTTTCACAGAAGGGGCGAGTGGACTTGGCTTTCTCCGTTTTGAGGAAATCTACGTTTCCATAACGCTGCGACCACCAATTTTCTTTGCTGAAAACATTCCTTGAAATTGCTAGTAGCCGATTTTCTTATAATTTATGAAAGACTTGAGCAATGTGTGTTCGGGAGAGCAAATATCCCTAGTCCGCTCTGGGGCGAACGTTATCAAGTGACATTCTGTTCACATGTCGCATAGTCGTAACTGGAAGTCACAACGTGTAAGGTCTGGTGTTTACCAACTAACCTACAAGCTACTGGCGGCCAGGTATCGTTTCAGTATAAAACGTATGAACATTTATATTTGAAATTAACGAATCGGATAGCAATAGTAAATATTCGAATTGGAGTCATCACCGACGTATATACAGCCAGTTCCTCGCCGAGTAAAAACATAGTGTCCTTTAAAAATGGGGTTCAGTATTTCACTTAAGCAACCAATTTTTGGAAGTCGATTTAGGGTTGTCTGATCACACTTCATCTATCGTCTCGCAGATGGTATCGTTGCCCCAACCTACACCGTTGTGATTCGTGAGGTATCTGGACCATTGTATTTCAACTCTCGCTTGGAACTGGAGTGCACAACTAATCCTCCAAATCCCTCAGCCCGCATAAACTGGCTTGGTCCTGACGGTCTCATCATTTCCGACTCAAGTCGTCTGGTATTTGATCGTTTCCAGTTGCACAATCAAGGCCGATATACTTGCCAAATACTCCTTCCTAACCAAGTAGTACTGCGACAGGTAGGTCCTTCCGTGTAGCTCTATTCAAAGGTTTAGCTCACAACTTTGCTGACAACTTGTAACTGTTTAAGAAAATCAGCACATTAGTTATATATTTGCTTGCCTAAACGAGTTGCTAGTTAGTCGTTTTCAACCAGTTTGATACACATTCCTACTGTACTCCTATTCCAATAAGTACTAGTGGGGACTTTTCGTGCACAGATATTCTGTGTCGGCAATTTCTTAACCCAACATGTTACGAGTAATTTCTTCCACAGCCTATCTTTTGCATCGAGCGGTTGGAAGGAATGGGTCATATACCATCCCGTATAGCATAAATTATATCTGTAAAGTTGATTCAACTAGCTACATTGTATTCAGTTGCTGTTTGCTACTGATGTTCTCATTTGTTTCTCCAACAACCAATTGGAAAAGTACTAAACCTCAATGAACAAGAATAAGACACTTGTTTATCGTCGTTATTTGATGAAGATGTCTGTAAATTCAGCTGCGTGAAATATGCATTTGACCTTCGTGTCATGGACAAGTGTTATGGCGCAATAGAGCAATGGTTTATGACGGGTATAAAAGCAGATAGTTAGGGAGAAACATGCAAAATTAAAAAATACAGTGTCAGTAAAAGAACGTGTGAGGTACATGAATCACTAAAGGGTTTAGTGTAGCACATGTGCGATTATCCCTGCCTGGATTATAGGCGGGTTATAATACCGTCCACTGTTTGTTGTGCATTGTTGCCAGCATCTGATGGTCTCGAGCTATAGCAAGAAGTGTACATGTGTCAGAGTATCGTCAAGACGTTTTATAAAATGGGCTTAGTTGGGGGCATAAAGCATATGGGCTGGGAGAGCATTCCATGGCTGTGACACTCGGAGGGAGAAAACGTTTCGTCGGCATTCCAGTCGGCTACAACGCGTGACCACCTTAAACTGATGACCTCTTAGAGATGTGTTTTGATTGGGTTTCAAAACAGCATGACATGTTTGATTGGGGCTTCTCAGGATCGGATACACTATTATGAGATCGCCCCTTAGACGCCGATAACCTCTGCTGTATATTTTGAAGCTTTTCAGCCTAACTGAGTAGGAAAGATGGGACACACGTCTGACGTTCTTTGTCGCCCTGCGTTGTGCAGTACCGAGTGTGTTGAGATGGTGCTTCAGCAAGGGTTGCCACGCTTGAATAGCGTATTCCGCGTGCAGCCTCAAGTACACACGAAGCATTTTCGGAAAGACTGCGGCTTCAAACTTACCGAACGCTCTACGAAGAAGACCGAAGTGCTGGTTTGCTTTTTTGACTCCTTTTCAGCTGCCTCAAACAACCGAGGTTATCATGAACAAGCACGCCAACATCGCACTCACGAGAGGCTCGCTGTAGTATTTGTGGTCTTAGGCGGTAGTTGTTAGTACTCTGATGACGCACGCTCAGAATTTCGCACTTGGTGGCGTTGAAATGCAACATATTCTCGATGGACCATGTGCAAGCTTTGTCCAGGTTATCCTGCAAGTCTGTGTGGCCCTCCACTGAAGCGATAGCAAATAGCAGACAGTTTGATAACATGCTCGTGAGATCATTTATAAGGACCAGGATCAGACGGGGTCCGAGTATTGACCCCTGACGTATGCCGCACTTCGATTAGTTCCGGTAAGGTTCTGCGAACCCTCACATTCAGGTGACGTTGGGCGAGCAAGTCAGCTAATCATCCAACCGTTTCCATATTCCGGGAGTTTGTGAAATAGAATGTGATGGTCTAGACGGTCGGATACCTTTAAGAAATCCAAATGGGCCGTATCGACTCTTGCACCATCACCCACAGATTTCATCTTGTATACACGAGCGATCAACAGGTTTGTAGTATATGACCAGTTTTGGCAAAATCCGTGCGGTTCCAGAAAGAAATTTTCTTGTTCTGTAGGTACCCCATTAAAGCATCAGCCCCAATGGACTCCATAACCTTGAAGAGCACCGAAAGTAGTGTTATCGGGTGATAATTTTCGGGTCTAGCACGGCGACGATTTTCGTAGATTGGCGTGATAATCTCATGCTTCCACATCGTGAGGACGTGCATATCGTTAAGACGTCTCTGAAAGAGAATTGCTAGCGGTTCCGCTAAACTCATGGCGACAACTTTCAATGAGTTCGGGCAAATACCGTCCGAGAGCTGAACTCGCGTAAGTAGATCAGCCTCTTCAGTACAACTGTGGAGGTAAACAATATGGGATTAAGTCCTGATGGCGCCATGAGCTGCGTAAGCAGCATGTAAGATGATTGCACACTTTGGCAGGTACGACCATCTTGTTGTCCAAGAAAGTTGGTCGCCTCCTCTGCCGTTTGCGCTAATCCGAATGCTGTGTGCAGAGCAGGAATTCCGCGCTTAAAGCGGCGCAGTTTGTTTACGTGTCGGCATAGCAGCTTGGGATTAAAGCAACATTTTTCCATCAGGTCTTGTCGGTTCTTTACTTTGTCCTCCCGAGCGAATTTGACACACTGGTTCCTTTATGTTGTGTAGACATCCTAGGTGTCCTCCCTAGCAGAGCCTTTGTAGAATAGCTATGCCAACTCCCTCAATGCCATGCATTTACGTGTCCTGTTCCTTACGAAAGACTTCATCTTTTTAGGTCGGTAGATTTTTGTTTCAGATGTGCTTGCTACGAGACTGTTGAATCTGTTGACGAATTCTCCGCAGCCACCTCAGGGGACCATTCGGATTTATGACACAGCAAAGAATCAAGTGGCTTGTCCCCACCTATCATATACTTTGTAGGTCAAAGAACGAGCTTATCTAGGAAACTGCCAATTAATTGATCGAACGGCCAACCCGTGGATACTTGGCGCACATTGTAGAAAGCCAGTGATTTTTGGTGTATTTCCTCCAAAAAATATCATTTGTCTTCAGGGAGATATATCGCCTCACCATCACTCCGAGGCAGTGCGTAAAAATAACTGGGTAGATTTTTTAACCGTGTAGGCTTTACTCCCCATTTATAAACTTTGCATTTGTGTGCTAAGCATTATGACATTACAATTTCGTAAGCATCCCTTTTTGACAAGAGCCATTCACCTACATGAATATGAAACATCCGCTCGTACTAATGCAGCTTGTGCAGAAGGTTACAATAAAGACTAAATCTATTTGACAGATCTAGCTTCAGTCATTTTGACGCATTTGACGTTCAATAGTGGGAATAGTGGTTGAGCGTGTGTTATCAGAGGTTGGCGGAAACCGGAAAGAAGTAAACTTATTTTACTGCTGCCAGTGTAAGATTAAGTTATCTGCTTCCAAACGATATTTTTAATTAGAGGCTAATCTACTAATTTTAGTGCTCGGAGGCTCAAAACCTGCATACTTTAACTACCAGGAATTGAAACATTTGGTTTCGTTAAACGCATCAAATTCAGAGCAGTTTTTCTAACCATGTTAATATCACGTAACTAGAATAGAACATTACCCTATATAGAAAACGTTGACTCATCGTCAAGAGACCTCTCGAGCTGATGAGTTGTTACCTACAAACCGCTTCATGACAAGAAATCGTTTTCATGTTTCATTAGTTGATACTTCATCACTAACGTTTCGGTACTGTGCATGTTGGAACTGTACTCGGTTATTGTAGCGCGGATGCTTACAATGCGCTGTTAGCAGCATTCAACCTAGTTACGTTCCGTGAACTTTCTTGTCACAACGTTGATTCATTCCGACCTATCAGTAAGGTGATAAAGCAAGAAACTACCCCCTTCGATTAAAGATAATTTGTGCGAGGTTGCCAGCATGGATTTCTCATCGAATTTTAACTTGCTGCATGTCTGGTATGCTTTTACAATACGGAAAAGTTTGTTGACAATCAGATATCTTCAAACTAAAAACTGCAGTGGCAATACATATCCGGAACGACCAAAGGGTATTCAGTCGCCCTTTCATTCGGGAACTCTAAAAACAAATAACCTAAATGCATGTCAGCCGACTGGACAGCTCACACCGGGGATCAAAAATGGCAGGTCCCAACTGAGCAGACTATGATTCTATCAATTTTGAGCAAACATCTCTCCATGTGATCATTTTAGACGTATAGTTATCATAGATAGACAGCTTTTTGCACCAAAACGAGTAACCCGATTTGACCACATCTGAGAAACTCAGTGCTTCAGTAGTTCACAGGTCAAGCCACAACGGTTTGCATAAATCAACTGATGAAATCTAACAATAATCCTGTAGGCGCAGTCTCAACTCGGGTAGAGCTGATCGATTTTCCCTGACGTTCAACTACCGGCCCTCAAGATAGACGCCATAGTAACCAACAAAAGCCTAAGCGCTCTCTTACTGGCAACATTATCATGATGAGATCACATGCGACGCACAAGGACTGTAACATATCATTTCGACTATAAATTTAATCTACAATAGATGGGGCTTCATTCACTTTGACTATTTGGAGGGCCTTCCCCTAAAGTTGGAGTAAATTTAGTTTACTCGCCCATAAAGCAATGTACTTCATCATCCGCACTGCAGCCAAGCCCGAAGAGCGTAATACCATAGCAGTCAGTGCATTCGGCCAGTCTGTATGGGTCCCGGAACAGAAAATGCATTTTCTCTCCTATTCCACTGTCATCAGAATATACCGAGTGAATTATAAACGCAAGATTCTCTTCGAACTACGGAAATTCATAGTCTCAGAGATGCGGCATTATCCCCACCTCAAGCCGAGTTTTAATCATTTCAAACGTTCGCTATCTGAATGGCTTTTCTTACGCCGCTCGGAGTCCGGATGCCTTATAATTAATGTGTATCTGTTGACATTACGTAATGGTGTGTAGTAAGTCCTTCATGATGATGCACCCATTACAGTTCAATGGACCTGTTGCTTTATTATGGAGAACATTACTGCACGTTTTGCAAGAGTCTCAGCGGATTCATGTTAAAACTGAACAAATGATACCGATACATCAACCGCTTGTCGTTCAAACCGGCGTAGGCTTGGTTATTACGAAAGCAAGAGTGTCATAAATGTTTTATTTGGATAGTAGCTAGCCCAACAAAAATGTGGATGACCAGCTCTTCTCAAAGGAATTTAACCGTTTATTTTGGCACAGAGTTAGTACAACTTTCAACATGTGTTTTAAACCGCTGTGCTATTAACTAACTCCACTAGCTGTGAGGGGAATCAATTGATTGCCTTAGTCTGTGCGAATTGTTTCAACTGCCAAGATACACAGCACCTTTCATCCGCTTTCAAACAGAACGTGGAACTTACTGCTTCTGGTTCCGGAGCCGAAGTCCCTGAAACAGGCGGACGCTATACGATTGCCATTGTTCAGACTCCCCTTGTTTTTCGATACAATGACGCTGTTCGTTTAAGTTGCGTCGTATCACCGGATCCACCATTCGTGCAGTTTGAGTGGATGAAGGATGGTCACATTATCGGAAGAGACAGTGAGCTCTTTATCCCGAACTTTGGACCGCGCGACGTTGGACGTTACTTGTGCAAGGCCAGAATTGAAGGAGGAGAGGATCTCAGTTCGAACACCACGATATCACCCAGACCAACACCCCGTAAGTCGAAGCACGCCGTGTTGTATGTTTTTCAGTGTAGATAATAATTGAACTTTTTCACAATAAGTTCACAATGTTGGATTTACCGTGCATTGGTGACGTCCTGCTGCCGCATTACCTCCCCGAACAAAAACTATGGTAAGGAGTAAAAAAAACGCTATGCATAACACCATTAATCTCTAGAACCTAACAGAAATCGACAGAAAATCTTCAGTATGAAACACTTATGCCCAGAGCAAAACGACTACCATAATCACAGTGGTGATTAACAAGCAACACTCCGTATGTGGTCGGTGTGTTGAGAAGCTGGTTGCTATTCTTCGGAATTAAAGTTAGATGCTTATCGATAAATCTGAGGAGTAAGCTACAAGTGATGGCCTTTGTAGCACCTGAATTGTGATAGTGCAGGCTAACATGACACCAAGCATAAATATAAGTGCGGGGTTGTGGCCTGTAGAGCAGTCATAATTTCATTCCGGTTGCTGGCGCTGCTGTACGACCTCAGGGAGTACGGCACTAGACAAACAGTAGCCCTCATCTTTTCATGTTACGAATAGCCGAGTCTGTCTTTTAGAATGCAACTATGGTACCATTCGTTTGCTCACTGGATTAATGGTATTCTGGAAGAGCTACGCGGTCTATTTATCGTAGACGTCTGAGGTTATGTGAAGCACAAGAACAAAGTGTTTCGGCTGTTTGCCCCACCAGTTTGATAATAATGAACACTGAAACCTACTATGATTTACAAACAGTGATATTGGTTTCCTTAATACCAGATTTCCTCAGCCCGACGCGTTGTAGAATGACAAATCGCGGTGTAGGTCGATTTGAGTTAGCAGATGACTGAATTGCAAAAGATCAATTCATCCCTTGTTTGTTGTATGTGAGGTGTAGAAACATTGAGATCGTCCAATAGGGAATTTTTTCATGCAATTATATGCTCTTGCTGTGGTGATGTCTGTAAACGAACCGTCCGCGTTAAGAATAATTGCTGACAAAGTGCCGTGAGAAAGCTAAAGTATAAAAAGAAAACTGCATATCACCCATTTTTAATGAGACATCCGGACTCTATATTGCCCAGATGAGTCAGAATGGGCCGCGCACGGTAATCAATATCTGCCAAGTACTGATCATGAGGCACAAAATCTTTTGTTGTGCGCATAGTCATTTCGCACCAATTTCGTGTAAGCTGTAAGCAGTCCTCGGATTACTATCTTGTGCCCGCATGATGCAAACTGGATACTGCACTAGCTGGGACATTTCTTCAAGGCACAGTTAATGTTCTTGAACAAGAATACTGAGTACTGCATTGTAGGAGTAAGCAGAAATATCCATCTGTACAACTCCATCGAAATATGAGTAGAAATATCATAAAGTATCCGTCAACTGTTGCTACTCTAGTCGTTCTTCAAGTTCTTATATATTATTTGAAAAATATCTGACTTAGCTTATTGTTGAGCGCAAGTGAGATATCATTTGCGGTGTGCAATCGTTACCTGAATCCAATGACGATGAGGTGTAAATCTATCAAAGTTTTGAACGGCCGTACATATTTAGCCTCCACGACTTGCTCTGATGAACTGTTCCAAACACTTACCACTCACCGTTCGAAGCGCAGGTAGGTGGGCAACTCGCTTCACATCCGCCACCACAAGCTTATAGGGGTATCCGCGTTGGCAACTTAGCGTTCGCAAGAGCAGCAATGGTAGCAACTTGGATAAGTCACTGAGATGTAATACGCGTTAGGTCATGAATAGATAGACTCGCACCCGACGATAAGATAATATGTATAGTCCTCTTTTTCCTAACCACTCTTTGTATGATAACCTTCCTAAACTAGCAATAAGCCTGAGGTCTTCATTAACAGGAATATGCGATCTGACTATGGTCTCCAAAGCACCCACAGTAGTAAAGAAGCCTGTCTACTTCTTGTTGCCATTCAAAAGTGACAATATTTCCAACACTAGTAAATGATTAAGCACTATCTTCAATTCCATGCCAATACTACACCTTCAGCTGAAATCTAAGCTGTCTGTGGATATCACCTGTTTTTGAATGTACCAGTTCACCTGTTCCTCTGGGACAAGTTATATAGATTGTACCATGAAGCGTTTATCTGAACGCGTCCGTCAGCATCACGCAGCGTGACTAAACCAAGGATTGAGCAAGACGTGCACCACCACAATAGTCGCACACCCAGTCCAAACGAACCACCCGGCCGTATCTCCAAAGCTTTTCGCCAGATCTACTGTGTGAAGGATGTCCATACTAAACTTCTCAGGTGCCGAATCTTTGTGTGTGCATAAACAGTTCGTCAAGCTTTGGCTTTGCCTTGGCCAGCTGTCGTCCGCGCAGCTTCAGTGCGAACAACACACCCATTTTTAACATTTCTACACCTTATTTTCCAGTTACTCAATTTGTTCTTTCTTGTCTTAACTATTTCAATTTGTTGTATTTGGCTTGATAATAAACCACAGAAAACTAGCTTCCTTTTAGACAGTATTTTCATGTCGTACTTCGTTTTTAAGTCAAAGCTGTACAGCCATGAACAAGGCCTCCTCATAGTATCCTCAATATCTCATGTACTAGCAAATTTGTATACTGAATGTTTCTAGGATATCGGGTTAACAAACATGGCAAATGTAATACGCGGTAGGTTACGATGAAATAGACCTTCACCCGATGATGGGACAAGCTATATAATCCTCGCTTCTCATACCGGTCTTCGTATGGTAATCATCGTAAGCTAGGAATAAACCTAGTAGCGGATTGCTGGACCTGTTTGATGTGCTGTGCCTAGCCTCGGATGATTAAACAGTAGGAGGACGAAACATACTGACATTGGCCTTATAATGGAAAAAAGAGGCAAGTGACAACTTTCTCACTCCAAATGCGGAAGCTGCGTTTGAGCGTCCAAATCAACCGCAGTCGCTTACGACATAGTCTGTTTGTGTTATCCACGGACTTCAAGTCCCAGCTCGAGAGTATAACTAGGTCTTTCACAGAAGGCGTGAGATGTAGCGTTTAGACACCAAGGATATAAGTTTGATCGTCGCCAATCTTCCCGACTTGAATGAGTTAACCCAGATGCGGACCTCTGCAGACCAGTGCACATGAGAATGAAGTCTTGCTGAAGTAGACCATAGTCGTCTGGAGTGCTGCTTTCTCTCTCTCTCCAAATCTTCAGGTTGGTCGCAAACATAGCACATGTAGACCGAAAAAGTCGAGGTAAATCGCTGATGTAGATTAAAATCGAGGTGGGTCTCAGCACCTTCTTCGGGTTACTCCAGTAATGCAGGGATGTCAATCAGTTAGACGGCCGTGGAGCTGTGCCTTCTACTTTCGTCCAACGGGAAAGTCTTGGATCCACTGGTACTATGATCCATCAACATCTTACACTAAGCTTGTAGAGGAGAACCTCATCGGTCCCCTTGCCGAAATCTTCGCTAAAGTGATGCTCAGCACGTCGACAGACTTTCTTTGGTTCACTGCTTGCAACTATTCATGCCTCGTTATGCGCAAGTTGGTAAGACATGAACGGCCAAGCTTAAACCGTGCCGTGGGGTCGTTATTAGATAATTTGATTTGAATATCTGTAGTAGACCATTCTTTACGATCTTGTCAACAACTTTGGCAAAAATAGGTAGTCGTCCACTTTTCTGGGATTACCGTCTTTTGGAATCAGCTTTACAACTGAGCTTCTTCGGTCACTCGACAATGAGCCTTCGGACAGAGACCCATTAAATAATTTAGTTACGGTAGGTGAGATGATTGCCGGTAGGGACGAGAATCGGTGAGTATAATCCGTCATCTCCAGCAGGCTTGGTGCCGTAGGTGGGTTAAACACCCGTAGAGGAAATATAGCCCCCATATCACCAGGTAAGCCGACGGATAGGCCTCTGACATCTACGGTACTTAGTGTCATTGGAGATAAATAAAGCAAGTTTGCGAGTGATTCATCTTAACCAGGCTCATTCAAACAGGTACTACACATCCAGAAACTGCCATTAGCCGTCCTTTTCGGTCAAGGAGTGGGCAGCTACGGATTTTGACTGGGATGGTCTCACTGAACTTAACCAACATCACCATGCTGTTCCCGCTTATGTCATGGCAGATTAAGCGAATTCCACTGCTCCTCTGTGCGGTAACTATCATGCAACAGATGGTACGACCAATTGGATTGTTAACAAGTAGCATGTAACACTATGCGATCAGTCCCTCCGTTATTGGTTAACGTTTAAGTAAGTAATGCTTCCGGGGTTGACTGAGCAGAACGGCTAGTGTAAATCAACAGTCTCATGTAGCATAACCCGATTAGACTAGCTGATAATAATTTGGACTACCATACCCGAGCCGCGTGTGTCAAGAATCATTTCGTTCACAATCGTTTCCAAGGTAAATAAGTGATACGTATCAAGGACATGGTTTCAGAGAAATATACCTGTAGTTGGTCGTTTTGCGTGGCAAATATGTTTTGTTTCATGACGAGCCTTCACCCATCAATGCTTTTCACACTATGCTTTTTCACACTATGGCCTAGTACTCGGAAAAGATATCTGTAGTTGTCACTTCGGCTGGATCTAACAGTGGGTAACAGAAAAACGGTGGTGTTAGTGGGTGTCCAACAGCGCTGTCACTTATCTCCTCAATGTAAACTGCGTGACAATAAAAGGGAGACTCACTCGCTTAACCTATGGACGTCACAAACCACTCACTAAACTTGACACGTCTGCATATTTGCCTGACAATGGGCTACCCATTGTAAGCCGTACAGTCCAGACCTGTTATGTTTGCTCAAATCGTTGTTCGTTTCGCGATATATAAACAGAAGCCATTACACTTATTGGAGAGTAGTAGATAGTTACTATCTGTTTTTAGAAGCCACCATACATCCAGGAAAGCGCTAGACTGCCGCTTCGTCCTATTGGGGCTCGTCACTGGAGCACACCCGCCGAATCCTGCCGGGTTGGAAGGCACGACCTTACTATTGTGAGCCAGCGATTTATGCCATTGAGCCATGTGTGATGGCAGCGGACCGCCATGACTGATATCTAACTGCGATAAAGCGCGGTTCGTCCTCCACTGTCATGCATGTTCTGAGTGTGCAGTGGACAGGGCTAGGATTACTACAGAGCTAGGGGTACTTTTGCAAACTGTCGCTAATGTAGGTTGCGTGTAAACTGATAAAACCATTACTAATTATTTCGCCGATCGTAATCCGCTACTGAGGTTACTGACCTGGAGTACATCGAACTAACGCCATTTTCTAGGGCAAGCATTACAATGGCTTACTTGCTCTTCGTAATTTGTCATCAACGCAAGGTGTGGTTAGGGCTCTATATCTGCATTCTACATTTGTAAATCCATTACATGCATTGTATTCAATTTCATGCGTACAGCATTTAAGGGTCCTTTTTACTGCAGCAGCATACCTTCGCACGTCTTTCCCCTACCGACTCGGTTTGATACCACACCGGTGACTTACAAATCTTTGCGTCCTGGGTAGACACTTCAGATGTCTATCCTTTTGCATTACCGAACGGAAGGGTCTACGCAGGTTAATCTTTATAGGCCACGCTTTTTTGCGTCTTTTTTACACCAACCCCTCTGGCTCCCTGTATGGGTTCAAAGCGAAGCTTATGGCATGCCAAATGGAGTGTTGGAAATCAACGGTTTGAATATCACTGCGAAGTCGGTTGATTGATGTTTATGCTTGGCTGTATCGTTTGCCACCTGGAGCTGACTGTGCTCCCGAATTTAATCACACTAATAAAGATGCTGTCAATCTTATTTTTATTCCAGCTGGTTCCACATACATTTCTGTCCGACCAGAAGAGTTGCACCAACCGACCTTTTCCTCTTTCCAAATTGAATGCATTTCTAACCAACCTGGTATGCTCCCAGTCGCCCAACTCCCGAATGGAACGCCGCTGGAGACGGATGACCAGTTTCAGGTCTTCCGGCCGGACAAAGAACGTTTAACAATTTCCGCTCCAAGAGGCCTCTCGGGAGTGTATAATGGATATCGAATAAGGTATACGAGCGACTGCTAAGTAGATGTTCCAACATTACTACTATTCCCTTGCAACGAAAAATATGCACTAGCAACATTTTAGTAAAGGCTATGATACATATTTCTGCTCTGTAGACCATTTTGGTTAAAAAGATCCTGCTTTCAACTTACAGTACGGACACCATGAGAATCCCTGCTTCAGAAACCACACGCTATGGTCTGCCCATTTTCTCTGCATTCACTCCGCTGGTGCGCATTTGTCTAAGACGCTTAGCCAGATAGTGATCATTGGTATCATCTAGTCCTCACCCCAACTGCACCTAACTGTAGTATGATCAAAATCTTTCCATAATGTCACACAATGAATAGATAGAAATCTGCAGTCTTCAATGGATTGTAAATTTCTGGCCATTTCTTGAAGAAAATTAAGTTCAACATTACGCTGACGCAGTTACTCCCATGAAAATCGGAGGGTAGCCTCCGTATTTCCCTATATTTGTAAGGCTTTGTAAATCGCTTTTATTTTATTGACGTAAATGCACATAATTTGAACTGGTATTGTCACTACTATGCATGCAATGTTTCGAAATTTAGATATAAACCATGGTGTTCAGGCTAAGTGGTTTCGCAGAGAGTTCTCGCATGTTTCCGCCTTAGGCCTTGCGAGACAACCAGAGGGGATACGGATGATTCCTGGCAATCAGGACTACATTGCTGCTTATGTTGGGAGGTCATTTGTTGTTACCTACTGTTTTGTCGCTAGTTCGTGCAGGGGAATGGTACATAGCTGGTATTACGAAGAGGACTGCCGCGCACAGAAATAAAAGATTTATTCTGTTGATCGGTAAGTTTAACATTATTGCATAGTGTCACAGATTACATATCCCTGCGTGAGGACAGGCACTGTGAGAAATGCTAAGACAATGCATCAAATTTAAGTCACTGATCCATCTCAGGATGTGAAATAGATGCTTGTCGCTTATCGTGTAGTATTTTAGAAGGCTGTGCCGTCCACTGCGTTCGCTTCAGCGCCTAAGTTGTGCCAACGTATTCGGTGGGTCACGAGTAGCCCGCTAATTGCTAGTGCTGTGGTGTTCAAGAGAACACGAAACACTCAAGCAACCAAAGCTGACATCATCGGGATCACCCACAAGCGTCATGTGCAGCGTAAGTAACCGTCATACTACCTGCAGTGTGTCACTGCACCCAATATGGAGCGGGCTAATGAAATAGCAACGGTTCTCATTTGCTGGTCCGTACGATATCGCATGGGATGGGAAACTGGCTAACTGGGCGGGTTGCAAACTGCGGACTTGTACAGCCTCTGTGCAAGCGTGATCGCCATTCGGGTCGATACGCATTAATGACACAAGCAGGCCAAACTCGTTAATGGGGTTACGGTAAATAGCATCACCGTTTGGTGTGTTCAATCATAAGTTGTACATGATCGTTGACGGTGTCGAGATGGCCCGTCGTAGATCGTTGTCACTTTTGACTACGTTTCTCAACACCCCCATCTCCCGCAAAGACGTTTCGTTCGAGACGCTCAACCTTGGGCAAATAAAGGCAGGTACATATTTCTTTAAACAGAAATAAAACCAAACAAACTAGTCCATGGTGTAGTTAGAGGGCAAACGTTTTGCGTTCGACATGAAAGCTTCGTCAAACCAAGTGAACCAGGGGTGAATGGTGCTACTTTTATTAAGAGAGAGGACAATAACTGCGGTTATGGAGATGTCAGCAGGAGGTTAGTCACCTTACAGATCAAAGTGTCATTTTAAGTGGTGCGTTATAGATCCCAGGTGGTTCATTGTACGAGGTCATCACACTTACCTTGCTGACTGCTATGGGAGTAAGAGTGGTTTGATGTTCGCGCTCTGCCCCAGATGCGTTCGCAACGTCCCTCAGACTAGTAGATTAAGACAGCCTGCCACGCACTCCATGACTCCACTCAATCCACTGCCTACGCAGCTGTTAGCTTTGGCAATTTCCGACGCCCCAGCAGTCAGTCTTTGGAGTGTGGATCGCAAACCCTTTCTAAAGATTTCGACATTATACGTGTCGATTTTATATCCCGTTTCCTTCTATCTGCAGGGAATGAGTCATTCAAATGCACTCGGGTCGAATGGACCGTTTCACCCTTCTGGTAAATCATCCTTATCTTTTCTTCATCTACTATCCTTCGGATTGCCTCTAAAGTTCCCCCTTTATAAGATCAACCAGCACAAGTAGCTGATCGGACCAATGCTGTCACGACACTTTGCACTGTGAAGTTGCGAAATCAAGCCGCGGCGTTCAGCGTTACATGTCAGTGGAATCGTTGTGCTTACATAGCCTCTGGGTCAGACCCAAAGAGAACTATGTCGTCGGCGCACTTAAGGTTTGTCAGTCGGTCATCTGACAGAACTTCAAGTACCACACTTAGGTACTTCACTGATGTAGCAGAGTGAAATCCATTACTGTCACTAAGCTGGTTGGGGCACTGTGTATGAACCTGCTCGTACCTGGCTCCTAAATGTCGTGAAAGAAACGTATTATGACACTCGGATGCACTAAGTGAAAGATGACGAGCTTTGGTCCAGTGATTGTGGTCATGCAGATGATTGTACAACCTCAGAGAGCAATCGGCGTTTCGATGATTGAAACCCAGGAAGGTGTCGTCAGTATATTTTATTAGGGTAGCTTTTACATTGGCTATTATTAGGCTGATGTAAGTAGGTTCGAGTGGAGGCAGTGCCCTTCACAATATATTGATCGACTTCGTGGAATGGTTTCATGCAACTAATTTTGTTTCTTCTTGACCCTGACGTATCCAAGTATTGTGACAACTTGACTACCTATCTAAATTTCCATTTTGACATTTGCTGTCCTATAAAAACCCTCAAAAACTGCGCCGACAAGTTCTCGTCCCCCATCTGAAGAAGCCGTGCTGACTTAAGGAGAAAGCGTTTAAAGAGAAATACGAAGTCTCATTGAGATCTCACTGTTCGTATCAACGAAGAGTTACGCCATCTCCACCTAGTGCATATCGAGTTTATTCTTAGGAACGGTATCAAGAAAGGGTCCAACCATAACCTGTCGTTTGATCTTCTGTTGCTTAGGCGCTTCAAGAAAAAATCATTCATTATATGATGCTGTCCCAAACTCGCTAGAATGACCCCTTAACAACACTTATGATAGTTCCAGGTCTACTGTAGATGTACTGGACCGCCTCGTACGTTCTATACTGTCATCACTTGACAACAGAAACAGATCAGCTCATACGTGTCTTCTGGAGTATAACAACGCATTCTGTTGTGTAAATCACGAAATGCTACCAGAGGATCTAGTCATTCAAGGAATACATTCCTCCATCATCCAATTGTTGAGTGATTATTTTACTAGACGGACTCAGGTTACGCGAGTCAGTGACAAATGCTACTACCCACTAAGCACCAACTTGGGTGTTCTTCAGGGAGAAATTCTTTCACCTTTGCACTTTCTACTTATTTCGGCTCAATAATAGCTTAACAGTAAGTGACGCATGCTGTGACAAAGCGGTGAATGCTTCACTTGTAACAAAATTGCCGTAGTCATATTTCGGTATTAGTGCTCTCAGTGGAGCGACGCTCAAAGCATCTCGCTTTTACCCAAGGCGACCACCTGTCAACCCACAGTTCAGTGTCAAGTTGCGCAAGCCCGTTTTGTCACCTTTTGCTACAAACATGCCATAACATCATCCCACAGGCCCGAATCATCCGCAGTCATACACCTGTGACTGCCTTGATATCCGGACACACCGGACCGGCCCCAGCATTGGTAGGTCATCCTAACAGTGTAATCTCACAACCTTCGTCTTTATGTTCTTATTTGGGATTATACAGGGGATTTTGTGTATAAAATTATGCTTTTGAATTTCCCGCTTCGTGCCGAAGATGTGAAGTCATGGCGAGCGATCAGTTGCAACCACATGGACGTCTACCAATTATCGTGCAAATCTCTGCTAAGTCACTATTTGACACTACTTTGTTAGTACTTTTGTCATTTACTTTTTCTGTCTTCATTGCGGCCATCCTGCAGGACATGTCAAGAGTTCTCTACTTGGCCCGCCATATACCATTGTATGGCCATCTCTAATAGTGCACTACGTGTTTGCGGGCCATTATCTAGGGAATTGTGTTTTATCGACCTCGCGGAATTATAGGCTTTGTGGGTACAACTATCTTAGGAAAGGACCATCAAGTCGGGGTGCTGTATCCACCATAACGGTAAGCGACGCTTGCTGTAACAAAGCAGTGCCTAATCGACCTGTAACAAAATTACCGCAGTCGTACTTCGGCATTCACTCTCCCAGCAGACCGTCGTTCAATAACCGAAGCCGACCGCCTTCCAATCTGTATTTCGATTGTGCAGGCCCATTCTGTCGCTTTACTTGCAAGCCTGTCACAAAGCTTTGGCACCACGTCCCCGATCATTCGCAGCCATGCACCTGCTATCCGGAAACAGAGCCGTCGAGTGCCTGCACTTTGGTGGGTCGGTTGGGCTGCACCAGTGCTAAACTAGACATAAGCTGGCTGATTTGGTGTTGTATTACCGTGTTCGCAACCCCTACTGTTGTCGTTCGCAAGGCATACCTGCTAGTCTACTTACTCCCATTGAACACTCCAACCAGCCGCACCACGTGTTTGGACAACATTGCGTCTTTAAGCTGCGTAGTATTAGCTTCAGATTAGACAGCGTTGCTGAATGGAGGACAGAAAACCCTTACGTCTCCACCATATACCACCAACTTACACATCTACCGTCATTGACTAATTTGGGATAACTTAATTTCAAGGACACTGCGCGTGCATAGTGCGGCGGAACGACACCGGTTGCAATACAAATGCGTTAAAGACGATGTTCAATTGCTTGTGGATGCAGATCAATGCTTTGTAGAGCAATTCAATCGCACTATGGATGCAATAAATCGGGAAAATATGTAGACAGGCCTCTTGCTGCGCCGAAAAGTTTGGTTAGAACTTGCTGGAAAGCAAGCTTCGCTTACCCAGCTTGCGCAAGTCTTGCCTTATTGAACATCGTCGGATTATCACGCTAATACCGTGGACTATCATCATGGAATGATGAAACGCCGTGGATCACAATTCAGCTACCAACAATCAGTTACACAGTTCACCGCTTGTCCCGCAAGAAGTCGTCAGCTAGATAATAACGGCGTTTAGTTTAAAAGTTGTACTTATGTTTTTGCTGTTGTTGCAGTTGCTTCTACCTACGTGTTACTATTCGCTGTGGACAAGTGTCGAGCTGTTGACACACGCTACCGATATGTCTGCATCTACAGGCTTGGGGCGCACGATCTGCGTACCGCCTCTCCGGAACGTGACCTCAGTGTTCTCTAACAGGACGACGTCGATCGCTCCAGATAGTATGAGTCCGCTCCGGAAGTAAACATCATGTTGGTCTGCTGTGGTGGTCTGTTGTGGTGGTCACTCGAAAGTTTGGTTTCATCCACCTTCTTACCGATACTCAATGTTTACGTACGTCGCCACGTCGAATACGTCATCCAGACTTGGCAACACTAGTTAAGAGTAATTACGCAGTGCTCGGGACTCCACAACGTCGAACAAAAAATTGTTCAATGGGTTTTCGCCACCTTCCCTAATAGGAACGGCCCGAAGAAATTCGGTGTGTTCACTGGACACTAGCGGTGACTACGTGGATACCTCATAATGGCTGCCAAATACAAAGTGACTCATGTCACGTATGCCGCCACGTTCTAAAACTCAGCCCGAACACCGGCCTGAGAAGCAATGCATTGAAATAACGCCAACAATACAATCGTTTAGACTGACGACGAACATACTTCTTCCCACCGGTCTTCCAAACCTGTGATGTCCTTCCAAAGTCAGTTGTCTTTGCTCCCATCTTGGTCATTTTAAAAAGTTTGGATGTCTTACTTGGAAGTTCCTTGCACTTGTTATATGGCTGGGCCTTCCCAAATGTATTCCGAATAATTAGCTTTTGGAATTACAATCCACGTTCACCCAGGTCAATCGGTGCAGACGAGTGAGCACTCCGATTGTTCTTTACAACGGACAACAACAAAGTGTCAATATGCGACGCTTTGGAGATAGCGAAACACCGTCTAACTGGGGACAGTAATCTGGGAGAGAAGATGAAGCTTACGGTAGATAAAATAACGGAAGGAATGAAATTGTGCCTTAATATGTTCTATTTCAAGTTCCAATTTGGATTATACACCCAGGAACTGTGGCTTGCCATGGGATCGCCAATATCCCCGGTAGTGGCAAATTTATACATGGAAGACTTTGAAACGAGGGCGCTGACTGACTCTTGTAACTCATCGGAAATTTGGTGGCGCTACATGTATTGCACCTTTGTTATCATAAAACGAGATAAGAAAAATGAGTTTCTAAACCGCTTGAACACACTTACGGAGACTATAAATTTCACTATGGAATTGCAATCTGACAGTGGAACATTGCCATTCTTTGACTGGTTAGTTCACAGGAATGGGGGCAGTCTAAAAACAACGATATATCGTAAGCCGAAGGATACAGATGGTGTTCTCCACTTTAGTTCAGGTCACCTGAAGCATGTGTATACTGGAATCATCTCATCTCTATTTCACAGAGCCCAGAACCTGTTCACAGAGGAAGAACACAGGAAGGTCGCCCGGAAAGAAGCAGTGAACCAACTGCTTGGTAGGGGATACCCGAGGCGGTTAATGAGACTCCAGTTGCAGCGAATTTTAAATCCTCACCCACAGCGTACTGCGCAATGGATTGGAACGGTAGATATTCCTTATAAAGATGGAACTTCAGAGGCCATCCGGAGGGTCTTAAATAAAGGAAACATAGGGTAATTTTCCAGGAAAGCCAAACGCTCCGCTCTACACTAATGCACTTGAAAGACACTTCCCGCAGATAGAGCAACCAATTTCGTCTACAAAATTACTTGCAAAGACTGCGCACATGTGTACCTCGGCCAAACCGCGAGAGATCTACGCACAAGGATAGCAGAACACAAGACGCATAATACGGCCACCGAGAAATGAGCTTGAATATATGGCTCTACTGAGGAACTCGGCAGTAGCGATGCACGCGTTAGATACAGGGCCTGAGATCGACTTGGATAACCTCAAAATCGTTAGAAAGGGGTCGCGATCTGCTCCTCAGAGGCTGACTGCTGAGCTGGTTGAGATTAGCAAACTGAACAGCTGCGTGAACAGAATGGACGGAGCAGTTTTCCAGGATGTGGGGAGCTGTATTAACCCGACCAGTCTGAGGACCGCCGGCGGACGGATCCAGGGCAGAGAATAATCATCACATCAGCCCCACACCCATCGTTAACATGGCTTACGTGTAGGACCTTGTAACACGGACCACTTGTGACCGTTGCATGCACTATTTGGAGTGATGCGTTGACCTGTAACGCGATTGAGCCTCTGCCTACATCCCATTCGTCGCGCTTATCATCCCAGTTCGCTATGGGCTGCACCAAACCTCGACTGGTTCACTCGGCCTGATGAAGCTTTTGTGTCAAAAGAGAAACGTTGCCCACAAACTATATCAACTGGTTTTTTTCAAACTTTTCTGAAATCACGAATTCTCGATAAGTTCAAGTATTTTCCAAGATGTTGAGCAGTCATCAGTGTTCCTGTGTTGCATTATCTCACCGCCGGCACCGTTCTTTATTCCGATTCTTGATCCCTTGACTCAGTAGTGGACTAACTGCTGCTCACCTCTGTCACATGCTGGCATTTACCGCTGTAGACTAAGCTGAGCCAACCGTTTGTCGCCAGATGAGGACATACACCCCATCACACAGAATGACTGTCCTAGAGGACTGCTCTACGGAGCAAAACAATTGTCACTTAATCACCCCCCCCCCCCACTTACTTGTTGATGCGTAGCCACAACTGTCCATTCAACTTGACGGTACTAGGCCAGCCAACGATGAAAGTGCTTTGGTTATGCTAAAAGTGTTAAGTGGAGTGATATGTGTTTTATTTAGGCTAACGCTGGTGACCATAGTGTATGGATAGTAGGCACATATATAAAAGAATGTTTTGTGCATAGGAGGTAACTTATTGGTGGTAAAATAATCGGCTTCGGTTCATCCCTTTAGACGATGTTGTCTTCATTATGGCAACCTCCAGTGACTTGTATTTGCTGCACTCATTGCTCGGAATAATGGTGACCTGGGTTAATTGTGCAGATGTTCATGTGTTCACCAGCTTAGTAGTCAGGTGACATCACCTCGTTTGGTGGTGAAATATTTTGCAGTCTGATTGCTAGCCTAGCTGAGCCCATCAACACTTGATCCACTGAATTCATTCAACGCAGTGTGTTCCGGTTCTTGGCAAGCAAACTTTTCATTTACACAACAAGATCACAGGGGATTTGATGGTGGCTCAACTGTCAGTACTAGTTTTCTTTATTTCTTCTACACGATTTGCACCCTAAAATGAAAATTACAAGTACTCCTTGCCAAAACTCTGTTCAAATGGATCCGTTTATTCCGTTCTAAGAGATTCGGGCTGCGTGCAATTTTCTTCCTTTAACAGATGTGTCTTACCCGGGCTGGAATATACAGAAGCCACATTGTACATCATGGATCCTTGCCCACTTAATGAATCTCAATGTAGAAGTAAGGAATGTATACCAACCATGAGCTTGTGCGACGGCCGTCCTCATTGTCGAGATGCTTCAGATGAAGGAAACGAATTCTGCAGTGAGTTCCAAGGTTTCTCACAGATCCCAACTACAAAGTCACCTTGCTCATATCTACCTGAAGGTGACAACCGTGTTATCTTCGATTTCTCGTTCGCTTATACCCCAATATAAGGTTAGCTGGTGTACCCAATAAGTTCACAAAAGTTTCTAATACGGGCATTAAACAGGCAGTTAAAGGAAGGGCGAGTATGAAGCAATTAAACTTATGTTGTAAAGTTCTCAGTAAATGATTTTTTCAGTTCGTTCCGTATAGATCAACGATAAAAAATCAACAGCTTTTAAAATTTAGTCAGTTCGTGGATAGAAAATCCTAGGCTACAGCGCCACTACTCTATAAAGATATTATCCTTTTACGCTAATACTGGTGATGACTCAGCCTATAAGATTAGCTGTCGAAAGTCATTCCTCAATTGACTATTAATCGTCGCTCGTCATCCAAAGTCTAACTGGCTCCGTCAGCCCTGCGTATAGCTTAAGAATCAACGAAATTTCATGGATAGTATAGGGAATATACTAAAGTCCATTGCCTGATCGGGAGAAATTCGGTCTTAATCTCCTTGTAACCGTGGGCGAAGTCCCCATCCTTAACAAGTGGAAGCAAATATAGATTTCTTGCCTAACCTTCTAAGAACTCTTCAGCACGTGTGATAATTCGCCGTAAAGGTGTTTGATATCAGGAACAGCGAAATACAATTTCAACCATTTGTTTAACCTAAGTTTTATCCCTTCAAATTCGTCGATAGCTTCCACATTTCCGGTGAACCGTAAGTTCCTGAAAAAGCAGTACATATGGAAGTAGCAATTATCATCGTCTTAACGAATTGGTCAGATCCCTTTGAGTAGTACTTAAAATACCGACAATTACCTGTAAGTTGCCAGACTCACATGTGATTTACTTTGCTGACTCATACCAGAGAAGTGCGAATGTTTGATTCGACCTCAGCACTCTGTTTAGCCAGCGATAACCATTTTCTACTTTCTCAGATGCCGGAGTCATCGCAAGCCCGACAAAGATTATTGTTCGTCCCAACCAGTCATTCACACTGAAATGCCACACGCAGTTGACGTCAGAAAGACCTTACGCTCGTTTCCAACTTTCCGAGGATAATGTCGAACTGGACAGGAGGTTTACAGCAATTCAACCAGCAACTAACGTTCTGTTCGTTACAGCTCCTAAGGGTTTGACTTTCAAGGAGAATGATACTCGCATTGAGTGAGTTCCATTTCGCTACTGTTGTAATAACCTGACCTGCTGGGCTTATTATTGACTGGTTCGTTCGCAACTTACTGTTAGTGAATGAATACGACACTGTCTAAAAACTAAAAGCGAAGCTCGGGCATTTCGTTTGTTGAATCAGGTAGCTCGCTACAGTTTATTGCTCAGTTCAGAATAACTGACAGACAAAATCGTGGTTGCGTATTTGCTAACCCGTTCGCGCAGCCTCTATGGCAAGCGACTAAACCGAAACTTGTCCACAGCGGACATTATATTGTCCGTCGAAATCGGTGGCGCGATTATCACAGTGTCTACCAGTAATTTCCTGGTCTTGAATTCCAGTCTCAGTTAGGCCAAGTATAGCTGAGGAGCGCGAAGCCTTTAGCGAGATGGACGACTTAGATGGATTAACACTTGACAGCTATTTGCTCAGTTTAGTTTCCCCTTAAACCCTTAAACATCTTCGTGGAACCTAAAGCAACCGGTGCATAATCTTTGACAGACAGGGCCTAGAGTTAAAAGCAGACTAGCCACTTGGTTTACGTGGATTATATCGTCCCATAGATACGCTGTTATTCTGTGGTTAGGAGAGCGCATAGTTACTTGCAAAATGCGGATCGTACAGTTCACCGCAAAAACTGTACCGTTATGCACGGTTTACTCAATTATTTAATCTAATATCGTTTTTCATTTGATAAACTATATGCGTTGTGTGAGGAATTTCACGGACCACAAGTAAGGGTAAAAGCGTCTGTGGTGGGTATGACTGTATGGATGGTGATAATCACAACCTCTGCCTTTACTCAGGCGGTTCGCATTTGGTTGAACACAGTCGTCATCACTGAATCCAGCGTGATCGAGCCCTGGAACTCTTCATGCTTAGAGTAGCTGCCATCAACTGATCTGTCTTTTCAGTCTGGAAGGTGTTACTTAACTACAAGGCCACTCTTAAGTTGAAAGTTATAAAAGTTAAAATATTTCGACAGAATTTCTGAACACCGGGAATCTCTTCCACAGCTTACATAAGAACCCATGAATAGATAACTTACAAAGGGAGTAGGTAGACTGGGGCAACATATCTGACCATTGCCTAGAATGTTTAAGCGCCAAGTGGTATTCAGTGTGGAAGACGGATGTCACCAATCTCATTGACGCACCCTGAATTAGCTAGTTGCATCTGATTCCTTAAACTTGGTTTCAGCCGCCGATTCACGGACATATCAGTATGCTCAGACTGGCCAATGGTGTATTGGCCGTTCATTGTCCTGAACGACTCTCATAGTTTTTGGCCCTGGAAGTGGCGGAGTATAGGTATTACTATGAACAAGCAGTATCTTGGAGTCATTTTCAGCTAATCTACTTGGGTTACTCTCCAATCTTCACTTTGTTTGACTGAGTTACGGACTGCTACTGTTACTGTGAAACGTTCGTATACGAGGTGGCGATTCTGAGATCTGGCCTCTCCAACTTGAATTTACTCAGCTTTCGTTGACAGTAATATTTCGGCTGCGGTACACCATTTGTTTATGCGGTGAGAAAAGCGGAGTCGAAGTCGTTTGCTGCTTGTCCCTCTTTAAACGTTTGAAGAACTGATACTTATTTCTTTGTGCATCGGCACCCCGTCCATCCACGCTTCATATGTTCAGGTATCGTGCTATGAATTTCAGGGGTCTTCCGCTGTCTAATGATGTGCACACCATTCGTCGCAACTTAATTTCAGCAGCTTTCTCATAGCAAATTTTTAGGCTAACAAATGCGGTACTGGTCAGCGACTGTCTGCAGAATATAGCACAAAAGTGTTAGCAGTTCACAGCACACGACTGACCTAGGTAAACATTCGTTAATACTCTTTATTTCGAAATCCACAAATTATGGATGTTGCGAAATTCACTTTCTATTAACAATGCGCCTGCTGGTTACCACTTGTTCAAAGCATCGATTAGGTGGAATGCGTGTTCACTGATGTTGACGACGAAATATGTATTACCACTGTTTAAGGTAAACCCTTACATTTTGTGTTCGCTCTCGTGTTTTTGGTCCTTCATTTTGAGCATAACTGGCTATCTTGTAAAATACGGCATCAGCATTGCCTCCACTATTCGGATGCCCTCATCCGTAGTCCGGAAAACTAACAACTCGGAAGCTCCTTCTACAGAAAAGCAACCGGATCCGACCAGTACTACATTTCACTACCCTTGTACCAAGGCGATACAAGTGGACGCTTGTGGCGACCTTGTTTATTCGTACCGAGTGAAGATTTCGACGGACTATCTGACTGAAAAAATACATCTAGTAGCTACGATGCTAAGAACATATGACTACAGTTGGCGACTCATCGAGTAACAGCACATATGTAAATGAGAGACGTAATGCCACGGTCTCTAACTATAACTTCTCTTCAGCGAGCTTCCGTTTAAGAGGGGCCTCCCAACATTGAGATCGCCAGATAGATGATCACTGCTACGCAGAGCAACCATTATGTTGACAAAGTTATCATCAGTCGAATCCAAATTTGTCACTGTCTCGGCCTATACAGATCCACTTGCATTATGTATACCAACGCGTGCGCTGCGGCGGAGCGTGCTGCATACTCAGTACCGATAAGACAATGCATTCTCCAGTAAAATACATACTAAAGTACGCTTAACGAGGGACTGCACGGCAATCAAGCCTAGTTCAGATGTCCTGTTCACATAAGCCAGCGGGAGTTATTGACCTAAGGTCAGTAGTTTGAGGTAAACTACGCGTTCGAACTGCGATTCGGTAAGCTAGTTCCTTCCTCCTCCTTTTCACCGGGATTGTAGCGATAAACCGCGTTAAGCCAGTGCTTTGTGCACAAATACATTAATAGTCAACCAATTTGTCTACCCTGGGATTGGGTACGAAGCTTTCTTGCTTTTCCATCTCTTTCCACATTACGCCTGCCACCAATCGGAAATATCTGTGAGCAATCGTTCCTGACACTGATGAAAAGTTCCAAAATGTATACACCAATCCAACTTCGTTTTTCTTCACTTTACCTTTCAAATCGTCAAGGATGATTAACTCTTTTAAGTGGTTTACTCATGAGACTCTGTCAACCTGACTATACGAGTGTCTGTGTCTTTTAAACGCACCTTTTGCGTGGTGATGGTTTTTGTTGCAATGGTTGCCAGTTCTAACTGTTTCCGAGTTTGCTGCTCACTGTGACCGCGGACAGTCCCATACTACTTGCGTTTACAATGGAATCATTGATGATTTGCGCAATATCAGTCACAATTATAATGCCAACAAAATGAAATAAGACAAGAAGGCATGTAGACGGGTTCCGAAACCGTTTCGGAACCGATCCACACTTCTTCAGCACCTATTTCACCAATGTTAATGCTGCGCACGCAAGTGCACCAGACGTACACAGAGCGGTGGCTACACTGTCACCCGTTCCATGATGCAGTCGCTCTTTGTGAGTAGTACTGTTACGAAGACTGTTCACACCACCTCCTTCGATAACGACAGCCAACTTCCTATAGACAGAAATCTTAGTGTTGATACCGCTTGCGTGGGCACCTTATTCACATTCGCATCGAGAGAAGCTGTTGCTGACGCATCATGGAGGATTAAGCATCAAATATGCCCATATAGCAAGTATGGACGCAGTGCATCAGACGGATGATATCAACCGCAGAGTAAACTTGTGTTGGTGTATGCACTTGGAAGAAGCGTCTTTCAGCTAGGTCAACACTTATTAATTTAGCATGTCTATCACTTCTTTGACTTAGACTGTTATGACCACGTCAGCCACCCAACAGGACATATCGGCGGAGGCAAACACGACCGCGTGCTCCAAGGCCCCAAATGCTTGATGATAATAAGCCACTGTTCATCTAAATCTGCCGACCGCATGCAGAGTGCTTGCTTACCCAATACACTAATTCCTTTTCAAATACCTTGGCAGAGGCTTCCTTTATGTGATTATGCCATTGCCGACGACCGATTTGAATTCAGTACCGGATCGTGACAACCACACCTTGATCATATCCCGTTCACGTCACCCCTGCGTGTATGCATTTCCCTACCTCCGCTAATTCCATCATAGTGTAAGTATTCTTGTTACATCTACTCACTGGACATAATCTATTCAGCTAAAATGTTGCCGCTGCAGTCCGTGTATGCCGATCCCGCCGTGTATTAGTCCAATGTTCGACGCTCCGTCCCACCAACGGCAGTTCAGGCGTGGCCACATGCAATGACAATGCATTTCTCACTAAACGCCCATCGATGATAACCAATTTCATCGTCTCGACCATGAGCCAATGAATTAAACAATCATTGGTTGTCAACAAACTGAGCATTTATAAACAAATTAACTGGTATTGGTGGTTCGGTGTTGCTCCTCCCAACCCTGAGCAATACCGAACCACCAATTCGGTTGCGGTCCTTGTGATCGTAATGACCGAGGTCCACTTAGGACCGAGGTCTGAATAGAGATTGCGAGTCGCAATCCAACCACACAGCGAGTACACCAAATGCCACTTGAAATTAACTGGTATATTTCCCGACAGGCGGCATAAGTTCCCTATTGTGGAACGATCCTTTGTTCGTAGAAGTTCATAAATGTACTTCAATTCATGTTTCGTCACAGCAACTGCATAACACTGGGAAATCGAACTAATGTGACACTGGCTGCGATCCAAGCCCTTGGAGATGCACAGCGAAGCGTCCACCATCCAATCGGTCACCTCGGAGGACAACTCAACATGCACGTCCACACCCCAAGCGACGGCGTTTTTTAACTATTACATGCAATCCTATCAAAGGACCTGATAAGGTTGTTATGGTATGCAAGCTTTATCCTAGTAATGATTAACATTCTACCCTGTAGCTCAGTAGGTGCATATCACAAATTGCGATTTAGGGAATCGTTTCAAGATTTTCCGATTAGCTGATAGTCTTAGGCAGTGCGTTAACGAATCGATTCTAATATTCGCGTAAACTGCATAGGTGGAGTATTGGGATAT